GGAAATGAAGAGATTCTTAGCGGACTCTACCCTGTGGCCGAGTGTAACTTTTGTCTAAATCCGGGAATAAAAATTTTTGCCTCGAAATGAGGATTTTGATTAAAAATCTCCTCTATTCACAAATTATTGTTCTTAAGCGTAATAGAAGTGTGACTTTATTTAAATTTTAGTATATAAATGTGGTAAAATAGTACTGTATATGTTTTTGGGCCAACATTTATTTAATATGAAGTGCTAAGTTGCTTGTTACTTATTAGGTTTAGGTAAATCATGCCATCAGTTGCATCATGGGGAAGAAGGCGCTGAATCTTAGAGCAGCATCGGCTAATTAGAGCTCATTGATCGTGTTTTTGTTTAATTAAACGCAAATATATATATGTTTAAATAGGACATATGTACATACATATATATGCATGTATATAAATATGCATACATACGTATATATGCATATGTATATGCATATATAGCCTACTGTATCGTACCACTTTGGATCCTAGTATTTCCAGACCAATGATACCCAAAATTATTAAAAGATGCTAATTGCATTTAACTTAAAGTATCCAGTAGATTACATTCCTTAAACCTCATTTTATAAATACAAAGAACTGTCCCTCATTTTCATTTCCTCGAAGAAAGAACTGCTCATGTAACGTGTCGCAAAAATCTTCTACATACTTTACGATACGAAATCAGTGATTGCCTATGTGCAAAATAAGTGCGTAATTTCTCTAGTATAGGTTAATGAGCCAGACAATTTTGTTTAAGCTGCAAAATTTTGATTTTTGATATTGCAATATTACCAGAATTTCCAAGATTCCCCGAAAAACTTTTCTATGCCGTGCAAAGTTATGTTAGGCTATTTTGCTCGGACCTGATGTACTTCCGGAAGCCATGACGTAATCTTAATTAACGACAAGACTTTTCCATACATTTCTTCATCTTCACATTCCTTTTGTTATTGTTCATCGCTAAAATCTATTTGAATTCAGTTAATCTACGAGGGTACCATTCATAATCCAGATTTTGGATGTTATATAAATGTGGTGAGATATCGAAACAGTGGCATTTACATCTTCTCACATTTTCATTTATGCAATACACGAATTTCCACCCTAACGAATCGAAAGAATTTTACCCTCAAATGGATGTAAATGATCTGAACTCAACAACTCAAGCGGTATTGTCAGAAACGCATCTCAGGCCACTGTCAGAAACACATGTTCACATTTCTTATTTGATAATACATCAGTCTGGCCTCTACTCTTGCTCCCAATCTTCATCCTCACTCGCCTCCGCCCAAAATAAAAAAAAAAAGCCCTTAAAATCCGGCTAACCTTGCAGTAGTTGATTTCGGATTTCATATGTCGCCTAACATGATAGACATAGTTGTAGACCATGGGCAGTGTTACGCAG